GGGGGGGGGGTAAAAATAAACTCACTGACGTGATAGAGATTAATTGGCGCAGGAAAAAAGCAGCACAGACATAGATACAGAAATAGAAACAACTAGGTGATAATAAAAGAAGGATCCATACCAGTATCGTCCTACAGGCATTATATACATAAATGTACGTCTGTGCCTGACTCAATTTGGCCTCACCCACCCCAAGAAAATACCCCCCTTCACATATAAAAGAAACAAAAACTAATAAACTAGATGTACATGAAAAATAAGAACGAAGGAAACAAAACTCAATTATGAACAGGAACTACCAACAACACAAAAAGAGGATTGGGGTTGTTGAACTAGTTACAGAAGAAGATTACATGCAAGAGGATCAGTAGCAGTGATACCTTTTTGACGACAAAACTGACAACCCAAAAACAATTATTACTTTTCAAAACTTTATTCAGAACCACTCATGAAGCACATGGAATGTAACACAATAACAATTTTGAATTTAAAATCTCCTACTTATTTCTTTAATGCAGATTCCATATATCTCCAATGTAGTTACAGATTTCACTTTGGGTTTCATATCAAATCTGATGAAAAAAACCCAACCCAAAACAAACAAATATTTAAATTACCCATATTTTTCAATCTAAAAAAATTGTAGCTTTCCTTGCATACGTTTTACAAACAGGTATTAACCTCTGACAGCATCTGCCTTAATTACAAACAATGCTCATCATACTCCACTAAGTCAGAATTTGTAGCCTACTTGCACAGAGAAAAATTCAACAACTTTTGTAATTAACACATACATTGTCCTTCCTTTTCTCTCATACGCAGAAGACAAAATCAGAAGTGTATTAGACAAGATTCATTCTCATGACTGTTTAAGTTATGGTCACAACCAATAATAAATTTAACAGAGAGAGCAGAATGCTAATCTACCATAAAAAATGCTGGAACTATCAAAGCAAAGTACCATGTGAGTATAACATTCCTCGAAATGCTGCAATGTCACTTAAGATACAGGATTGCTGGATTTAACTTCTATCTTTGAAACTTTCATACAAATGAGCCAGGAGCGTGGTAAGCCTAGAAAAACTACAGTATCTACACAACTACAAATTCAAGAACTCCTCAAAACTAGATTCAACCTAAGAATCCGCACCAGTCTATAATAATGATATAAACTGAGCGACCGGCATCCTCTAAGCCATAAGAATAAAAAAGGCCATACGAGACACACGATTTCTATATCATCAGCGATGCCTTTACATTTAGTATTGTGAAAAAATGAAATTCAAATCACGTAATCACCTTTTTTAAAGCCTAATGGGGGTAATCCTTTTCAACTCTTTAAAAAAAATTTAGTGACATGCATTTCACTCCCTGAACAAAATTTTAATACCTTTCTCTCCTCCTGTCTTCACCCTCCCCCCCCCCCCCCCTCCCCAACGAAACACCTAGGGGCTTCCTATGTTTGAATTTGTCTTAATGTAAAAGGGAAAACACCACTCTTAAGCTCTGTATCAAGTAAATTTGCACTGGTAAGCAGAGTTCGTCTTACCATCAGGCAGGTATACTGACACAAGTCTAAATCTCCACAAATGGAAAGACAAGAATGGCTCATATGTTTACTGTTACTCTTTACAATTACAAGTCTACAAGTGACTTACCACAATCATCCAACTATACTAATCATTGAAAAAAAACATCTTTAGCTTTACTTCTCTACATTATAATTATAATACTTTTGAAAAAAAAAATAGCAAGAGATATAAAAGGCTGAACAGTTTACAAAAAATAATGCCTTTTTCATTTCAGTAACATGGTTCCAGGCTGACATACAGGTAAGTTTCACTGGAAAATGTAAAAATTATTATTATTTCTTGTTATGCCAAAATGTGTTCATGACCTTGACAGGGAAAAACCCCCCAAATAATACCGAAACCAAATAAAATAACAGTTTTGAGCGAACAAAGATGAAGGTGTTATGCATGTGCTTTCATAAGCTTGTCAGAATTAACAGAAAATGAACACAAAGAAAGAATAAAAAAGTAAACACGAAACAAAACATCGAATTTGATGCTATCGTTTTAAAGCACATTTAGTGGACGAGGGGGAAAAAAAATCTGTCTTCATTTTCACAAGAGTAACAGGATCCAGAGCAAGCGACTCAGGATACAGAAAAAGGAAAACCATGTGTGGTTAGAACACAAGACAAGAGACATCTAATGTAGTGGAAAAAAAAAACGAGAGGTAGGCTTTTCATCTAGAGTGAATGTTTAGAGTTCAAAACCTTTTAAGTCAACTACATACCAGTAGCAATGGTTAATAAAATACCACAGAAACACAAAGAAAGCATGATGCTTTGACCATTGGTCAAGCCAAACTGTGGATTAAATACTCAAAACTCAGAAACATGTAAAGGTTAAAAGGAAGAGGAACAAAATACATGTACTGCTTTAAACCTTCCATAACACGCTGCTTGATCTCACTGAGCGGGAAATTTTCACAAACTTAGATATGAATCAAAAGCATGTCACCCAGCAGCTTATACAGACAATCCGTATTCATCACTTGGAGAAAGCGATCCAAAACTTCAACCAGGAAAGAGTACATTTTTAAAGCAAGAAAGAGAAGGAGTTAGTTTGAAGACATGCTACATAGATATGGATTAGAATACCTGCTCTTCACTCTGAAGGCAGTTTACAATGTGAACCACCGAACACACAGAATACGTTAGATCAAGAGAGACCAATGGAAAAAAAAAAAAAAAAAGACAAGTGTCAATGAGACGACATAAGTAGCAATTTAGGAACACAGCCACCTCAGGACTAACTGCCCCATATATGATATTGCTAGACACACAGTTGTTGTAGATGTTTTGGGCATCCATCAACAAAACATATCATATAGGAAGTGGGTAGCTTCGAATCTGCCTGTCAGGGGCGATGTGGGCTGAGAGGGATACAACGCACAACGCCTTTGCAGAGAGACAAAGATACTCGATAAAAAATCTCCCCACATGAGAACTGAAAATAAGCCTTCTGCCTGTGAAGGCAAAGCGCCAAATCGCTACACTCACTGGCGGCAGTCCAAGCCAGGAAGGTTGCTCTGTCAACGTTGTTCATTTTGTCAACTAACCATAGAATGACATGACACTTAATACATTGTTACATGACATAGAGAATACCAGAGGTCTCCACAAGTAACTGCAGAAATGCTCAAACATTATACAGTAGAAAAACTCACATAGAGAATAATACCTGATACCCTATTCACACAATTAGGTGCCGACCACTTGTCGAGCTACAAAATGATGCAAAACTGGTAGTGCCAGACAATATTCTTTTCAAATACAAACAGCTGCTAACATCAAGCAGCCTTGAGTTTTCCAAGCAAAAAGTAGCACTGGCAGTGAAAAGTCAAGCACAGAGAAAAGTCAGAGATACAATACACAGAGACAAGATAGCAAGTTGCAACATGCAATAAATCATAACAACTTTTAGGACAACGAAATAATGAACATAATAACAGATAAAATCATGCAAAACATACAATATGTACCAAGTTCATAGTCGTCATGTGAACTTTAAAAAAAAAAATTATATAAAAAAATATTTTAAAAAACCAATAGGAACTTCTAAAATTTCTAGTCTCTGGAATCTATCTGAAAGATTCACAGTCAGACACAATCAGAGAGACAAAAAAGTACTTATAATTATAGCTGTTGATGTTTTACTCCCCCATCGACAAAATTTTGATCATTAAGAAGGCTGGCTGCTTTGACCCTGCCTTTCAAGGGCATCCTGGGCTGAGAGTAATAATACAATGCCCCAGCAGACAGACAGAGATCCTAAAAAAAAAAACCTCCACACACTGGTGTCAAACTTGTAACTTCTGATTGTGATGCTCAAACAATTAGCCACTACACCACAGACACCAAAGGAAGAAAGTAAAAGGCAAGATAAGTTCATAGATGGCTCTAATATATTCATAATAAGTTCCTGTGTTAAGCATCATGAGATGGGTACAGTATTTAAAGCATAAGAAAAGATGTCTGATGTACATCCTCCAAGACGACATAAAGTAGAGTTATGAAGACAAGATAACTAGGTGTGCGAGAGACAGAGTTAAGACAGTAGGTTTGTCCTCAGTCATCCAACCACCCAATTACATACCATGGGGCCGAATCACATCTATACTTCAACCATAGCAAATATTGCCAAGGCAGGGTGCATATTAGTCAAATAGACTTGATCTGCAAGATCAGATAAGACCAGGATGCATCCTGAAACAGCACTAGCCAGAGCACACAAGATCAAATAGACCTCTGTTTTGCTTCACAAAACTCAACCCGAAAGTCAAATAGGGTCAGTCGCATTCTGTGCACAAACAAAAGATCTGACCTGCAATGTCGGGTGACATATAGTAGTCTTCTGATGATTCAACAGTGAGATTGAAAAGTGAGTAATACATGAAGTACTACATAAAGAAAAAAGAATGACAAGAGCATTATTCTAAACTGGGCTTTATCCCCAGAAGGCAGATCTCATCCCAAGCTGGCCAGTCAGTTTAAAGACAATAAGCTTTTCAAAGTGCTTCTGAGAAAATTGGGGAGGGGGGAAAACTAATATCCGTGAACTTTAAGCTAGCCAAGTACACTCATTGCAAAATATGTCACCTCTCCCCCCTAAAAAAAACCCCCAAAAACCCCCCAGCCAAACTGAAAACTAAAATAGAGAGTGTCAGCAAGCTCTTGAAAAAGATGAAGTGAAAGGGTGTACTGAAATAAGTGTCACATGAATGTCAATATGTCAACACAAACAATTTTTACAATGAAAAATAAAGATAACAAATGGAACAGTATGAATGACAGCATGGAAAATTTGAATGAAAAGAAAATCTGCTAAACAAACATCAAGTTTTGAACTTGTTCCTCTTATTCTTGCATCACACTAATATAAAATGAGCAAAAAATAAAACAATGGACCGTACGCTTTAAACAACAGAACTTCAACACATAGTGTGCAGCAAATTAACACAATAAAGTAAAATCAGTACCAGTTGAAGTACATTCATTGAGGAGGATAATTCCAACATTTGTATAGATCCAACTGTCAATAATATGATACACACTTTCAACACAGATCAGATTCACATTCTTATGAAATATAATGTCCATCAAATTCGTAAATATCAAGCACTGTTCATTCTACTCCCCACCCAAACTTCAAAAGAAGCCATTTCAAACTAAAGTAAAAAAGTGACAAAAACATCATAACAAATTGAACACCAACAATCAAATTTATCAAATTCAACAATGAACTCTGAAAAGCAATTAAACCAATTTCATGAAAAGGCAAGCACATATATCTCTGTAATTACATAGCACTTGTATTCACCATCCAGAAGCACCACACCACAGAACAAAGAAATCAGAACTACCTTCATGAAAAGCCAAACACATTAATTTCCGTCGTGACATTGTGCTTGAACTCCTCATCCCATGCACCATCATTCGCCACATACAAGTTCCCAGAGTCACTGAAAGCCAGAGCAAATGGTTTCTTCAGCGTGCCTCCAGGTGAGGTCAGATCTGCCAGGAAATTCCCGTTTCTCGAGTAAAGTTTCAGCTTATTGTCACGTTTGCTGCTGCAGACGATTCGATCTCCAATGCATGCCACATTCCACACATCGCTTGGCTCAGAGTCGAGGTCATTCGCAAATAGCTGAGTTCCTTCAGTGCTGACACACACCAGACGGATGCAAATATCTTGCGTGCGTTCAACAAATACAATACTATTAGTGGCCCCCAAACTGGCAACAAGTTCAGGGCCTTTGCAATCACTGACCAGAATTCCTACTTCCATCAGATCATCTTGAATACAGACAAGGTCAATTCTATCATCCTTGAAAGCTGCACATGCAACAACGCCTTCCTCTACGTAGGTCAGACCAAAATACTGTGCATTGGTCTTCAAGTCGCGGAGAAATTCAAGCCTTCGCTTGGAGACCTTGACCACACTGAGGGTGTTCCCAGCTCGGCTGATGACGATCTTATCGGGGGCGAGCTGTGTCATGTGGTATGGTCGGGGTAGCTCGAGTCGCGTCACTAGACGATGGTTGAGGCTACTGCTAGAGGAACCGTCGTCGCTGACATCATAGAGCTTTAGACAACTGTTGATGATGTCCACAACCACCAAGCAGCCGATCTCTTCCAGCACGACCATAGAGCTCACACTCGCGCGGTGCTTGTCACCCTGGGCAAAAGGGTTGAACATCCCGATTCTGACAAGTTTTGAATTTTTATTTGGCAGCTTTCTCGGCCCACTCCTTACCCCGCTACCTGAGTTAGTGGCAGAATCTTGCTTCCCTTTTTTCTCGGAGGCTACTGTTCCTCCTTTTCTCTGACCCTGAATTTGATTCTGCGTCGCCTCCTGCTTGCTCCGAACCTCCTGCCTGACAGCCTGAAACTTATTTTGCTGTTGCTTTTGCTTCTTCTGCTGCTGGTGCAGGTGGTGCTGCCGGTTGTGGAACATGCGCTGCTGGTGGGACGGCATGGACTTGGCCATCTTGGGCTGTGGCTGCTGCTGGGCCTGCATCTGCTGCTGCTGCAGGAAAGCGTTGATCAGCACCTGAAACTGCTGCTGGAAGTGGTCGCGGTGCTGATGCTGCGGGTGCTGCTTCTGGGCCAGGATCTGCTTGAGCCGCTGCGTCTCCTGCATGAGCTGCTGAAGCTGGTAGTCCTGGGTGGCCACGAGCTGCATCTGACGCAGCTTCTGGGCGATGTCGTTCAACTGTTGCTCCACGTTCCCGCCAAACGCAGCCCGGCCCGACAGTCCATGACCATAAGCATACCCAAACCCTGAATCTCTGCCCTGATTTTCTTGCATCTGGAAAAGTTTAGACTGCTTCAGATGGTTACCATACCCACGATCAAAATCCCTACCTTCAGACATACTAAAATTCATACTCTGACCCTGTAAGCCAACATCAAGGCCCACATTTTGCTGCAACCCAGAGAAGCTGAAGTTCCCAGCACCTGCCAGATGCGGGTATCCACTCCCGGGCAAAGAGTGGATGCCACTTATATTCCCAACAGAATGAGGACCTTGGCCTAAACTGTTGAAATTTTGAAACCTGAAAGACCCGTGCTGAGGCAAGTCCCCCTGGCCAAAAGCATTTGGTCTTGGCCCTAGTATTCCAGGCTGATGAAAGAATGGGGACTTGGTGGCCTGGGAACTCCCCTTGAACTTGAAGACGTCTTGCTTTTTCTGCGCTGCGCTTTGGGAGCCTTGTGCATTTCTCTTCTTTGGCGTGGACACACTCCCCTGGTTTCCATTCATTTTTTGGCCATTGGGAGCAGATTTGAGTCTTTTGTTTTGCTTTGACTGAGATTTTGTTGTTGTTGCCACATTGTTATTGTTCCTGTTTCCAGTGACAGATAGGTGGGTCGAACTTTTCTGCAGGTTCTTGCTCCTCTTATCCTTCTTCATCTTTTGAGCTTTTTTCTTGTTTGAATCTTTCTCACTGTCAGAATCTGGAGTGGAGAACGAGCTACTAACATTTCCTTCCATACTACTATCAGAGGAATCAGAAGGTCGAACCAAATCCAGCTCATGTCGGTCCCTCATCAACTCCTTCAGCATTTTTGACACCAACTCCTGCTTCTGTCCAAACTTCTCAGTCCCTTGTTTCTTTTTAAACAAAGACAGCTTTCCAATCTCTCCAACAATCCGATTTATTTCTGATTTGGGCACCTCCGCTTGCAATCCACTGCATGATTCAATGCACTTATTTAAGTTGCTGTCAATCTTGGACATTCGGTCTGCCATAGTTTGGCAGAAAGAGGCAAGATGCTTGCTCTGTCCCCAGTTAGATCCTTGCAAATTCTCATTTGTCTTAGAAATGACAGAGTCAACGTCCTGAAGAAGTGTTCTGAACCAAGCAATCTGGGATGAGCTTTGGGACAGTTCTTCACTCAGTCGGTTCTGACAGGCTTCAATAGCATTATTCAAGCGCATCACGGTGTCCTGGATGGCTTGGGCCTTTCTTTGTTGGGTCTGACAAAGGAGAAAGGAATAAGAACAGGTTTCAATGTCTGACAATAAAGATTCTATGACACAAAACATGGAAACAATTATTTGTTTGTTTGAGTGAAGAGAAGCACATCGGCAAAATAATGGTAATTTAGCGCTGGGGAAAAGGAAGACAAGAAAGACAGAAATAACAAAGGAAATGTAAAGAAGTAGGACCTACCAGCGGCACCCTCCAACCACCCTAGATGAAATTAAATATACCAGGCATTAAAAAGTATTGAAAGGAAAGATAGCAGTAGGGATTTTTTTTCTTCTGCAAAATCACCTCTAAAGTGATCCCAATTATCCACCCTAAAAATGTCAGTAAATCTATTCCAGCTTAATTCAGCATAACTTCTTCAAATATAAGGTTCTTACATTCAGAACATATTTACAATGTCAGCTTTTCAACAGCTAATGTCTCATTTACACAAGAAACACACACTAAAGATGAATAATTTTACTGTTTTTCAAAAAATATTCAGCACTTGATCCCCAAAGCAAAATGGGAGAGGCAAACAAACTACGCCCAAACAAAATCACTAAGACAATCTCTGACAATGCCAATTATGACAGTGCAAAGAACCCCCCCCCCCCCCCCAACCAAAAACAACCCCCCCCCCCCAACCAAAAACAACCCCCCCCCCCCCAAAAAAAAACCATATAAAAAAACAACTAAACCTAGCCATTCCACAATGTGATCCTGCAAACAGTGGCCTAAGTAGGAGCACAAGTATCCTTTATGCCTGTAATTAAATACAAAAACAAACAGCAAGGGGGCAATAGAGAAATGGATCTAGACATTAAACACCTGAGCATAATTCAAACCCCCTGTACGTAACAGTGATATATTAAAAAACTAAACCTCCTCACCAGGGCAGTGCTACTGACTGAAGTTATCTTTAGGCTATTCCCAAAGGGGGAATAGGGGAATATTAGCATGTTCTTATGCCTAGTAGAATTGTACATGGGCTGATTTATCAATGTCATGCTCATACTGTGCCGGAACAGCATAAGGGAAACTGCTGCTTTTTCTGTCCTCATTCTTACTATCGTCATTTTCCCTCTACTTCTTTAGTATCTTTGTCACTCTCTTGTGAACTGCCATTTCCGGGGTGCCTTGACAGATGAAGCAGACTTTGTGCTGTTGAGGCTAGAGAGGTGAACAGAGTAAGCCTGATTCCCCGTTTGGACTTCTCTGTTGACATCCTCCCATTGGCGCTCATATGACCTTATGCAGTTTTGCGAATGCCGTAAAAACCTTACTATAACTAAACTAAACTAAAAAACTAACATCATCATGGTATTACCTTTTGAAATTCATCAAGATGCTTGTGAATGTTTTTCGCACTCTTTCCCAAGGTTGACATCTCTTCATGAAGCTTTTTCTCCCATGACTCTGCACTACCCTCAGCTCTCAGCTTTTTGGATTTAGATAAGTCATCCTGAATGTGTGTACGCTGAAACAAACAAAAAACCCCAAAAAACTGATGTCCAAAATACATAGGCATACAAACCTAAATGTGCAATACAATGGTAAACAAGTAATATGACTCCTGTTTTTACAAAGTGCTGAGCAAAATAAATTGAAGCTTTTTCACTAAGGTGGAGCTTTGAAAAAAAGATGTGATAGGTTAAAGCTTTACAGGAAACATTCTGCTAACAGGTATCTTGGTAATGTCCAAGGACATCAATATCCCAAAAACTGGTCACCCACGGAGTAGGAGCTGAGGAGATCTTAACAAAAACATTTAGAGAATGTGTCAATATGCCAAGACCCTTGCTTGTTAGGAATTATCCCATATTCTTACATCGTCATAAATAACCAGAAGTAGCATGCAACAACAAAATCTAAAAAACAGGAAAAATGTCATAACTATGCCTCATTAAATCCAGTACACAAGCACATGAAACAGCACTTACAAACCGAAAACGGTACATTCTTAATAATCAGATTCCAATTTTTAATGTGTACATACATATTCTATATATAGGGCATTAGAACAGCACGCTGAAAACAACCCATTGAGAGAGAAAGAGAGGAGAGAGAGGGGGGGTGAGGGAGAGAGGGTGAGGAGAGAGGGTGAGGAGAGAGAGAGGAGAGAGAGGAAGGAAGGAAGGAAGGAAGGAAGGAAGGAAGGAAGGAAGGAAGGAAGGAAGGAGGGAGAGAGAGAGAGAGAAAGAGAGAGAGAGAGAGAGAGAGAGAGAGAGAGACAGACAGACAGACAGACAGAAAGAGAGAGAGAGAGAGGGGGGGAGAGGGAGAGAGAGAAACTTCATAAAAAGGAAAAAGGAAAGAAAGCATTATCTTCTTTTAGAATAAAAATTACAGTCTGCATGTTTTACGGCTCTATCAGCCCAATTTTGTAGTGCAAGTACCAGTTCACTTACTTTGGTAGGCGTCCCAGGAACGGGATCCAACTTCAATGAACTGAAATCTGCGGTTCCAACAGCAACTTTCTGACACCAGGCCTCGGCATTCTCGTACGTCTGCTGCATGAGCCAGACATGTTCCAGGAGGAGAGGGGAAGTTTCATACTTGTCCTGAAAAGAGATGACAACCAGTCAGAATAAATATTATATCTTAAAAAATCACAAAAACATTTTTAAAAATATGTGATGTTAATGAACATGTTCAATTGTTTGAGTAAAGAGAAGCACATAAGCACAAAGAAGTGTTGCTAAGTTCAGGTTAAAATTTTTACAAAGTCTGAAAGAAAAAAAGCAGGATCTACCCCTGGTCCCCAGGAAACTGCATTACAAACATGATCTTGTGTTTTTATTGATGAGAGATGGGAAAACAAAATTCAGGACCTGCTTTTCAGGAAATGCCTTAAGCCAGTGAATGACATACATAAATATGCACTACTAGACCAATGTGATTGGAAGGAAAAGGGAGAGTTTGTACCTCACTTTGGTTTGCAGGCAAGAACAGAAAATGCCACACATATTCAAATTCTACAGAACCAAAGGGACTGGACTTATACGTCATAAATATATTTCCCCCCCACAAAATGGGATATCCATTCAACATTTAAAACACACTTTTTACTTTTGCTTTTCCGATCCGGCGGCCATTTGAGTTCTAGCCCTTCAGCCTGAACATTTCAAACATCAAGATGAATACTAAAAAACTGACGAAGTCTTATTCAAGACAGGTTACTGCTCCAAGATACTTCTTTATTAGATCAATTTATACTAAAATATTATTAATAAAGATTGAGTATTTCCACAAGAATATGAGGGCCCACAGGAAAAATAGTAAAACTCACCTGCTCATTTGTTTCTGCTTTGTCATCATGTAAAGACATCTGCTGGAAGGCTGCCTCTGCCTCTTCCACATATTCTTGCTTCAACCAAACTGTTTCTAGCATCAAAGCCTGAGCAAGAGCTGTCTCAGATGTAGACTCAAAAGCCATACTTCACTTCACTGAGAAAAAGTAAGAGAGCACAGCAATTGAAAGGACCCTGTTATTAGTATCTTATCATGATAATCAAGATGTAAGATGATGTTTAGAAAATTAAGACACATGGCATGCATGAAGTTTCGACCACATTCTACAGAACATGGCTATTCCAGCTGGAAAATGAAAATACACTTTATGATGAGCCAGCACAAAAACAGTTAGCTGAGACGCAAGTAGGGATAGGAACATTTACTAAGAAGTAGAAACAGACCACATCAGGGCACCCACAAACCACCAATTGGCATCTGTGGTATTATCACATCTGAGCTTTTCATCATATATTGCATTCAGAATAGGAAATTCTCGGTGGGAAAATTCATTTAGTATCTCCATCTAATCTCTACCTGCTGGGATGCTGAGTCCTACCTCACGTACATTGGCCCTGTCAGACAGGATCAAAGGATCTTGCCCACAAAATGACCTAAACTGCATCAGTGTGAGACATTTTAACCTGTGAGTGTGTGTGTGTGTGTGTGTGTGTGTGTGTGTGTGTGTGTGTGTGTGCGTGCGTGTGCGTGCATGCGTGGTGTGAAACCTGAATAATCCTGTAATTTACATTGATTGCATAACAGTGGCCAGAAAACAACGCAACAATAAGTACTAGACAAGAGTAACAATTCAGACCTGGAACAGTCCGCAAAACAATCATCACTTTATTTGTTGATCACAAATGAGAAAGACATGTACACACTGAATTAAACAATTTATTATAAATCAATATATATATTGTATATATTATATTTTGTATCCTGAAGTTCACTTAGCCAGAGGTCAAATTGGGTGCTTCATGCACATGAAGTAAACTTTGGGTTACATTTTCCCTGGTCAGACATTAGCAAAACTAGAGTTGGGAGTCCACAAGAAAGTGAAAGTGAGTGAACTGCTGCATCCCCCCCTCCCCCCAATATCTTCAGCCTTCGAGTGAACTACTTGAACTTCAATTTTACCAAGGCCAATAGCCCTTCCAATACCATACATATGAAACTCGCTATTAACCCTTTAAGCCCTGACCTCCTGAGGCTACCGTGCCCCTCTGATTGAGCTCCTGAGGTATATACTAACATATCGTCAGAATCACATTCCATATCCACTCAGGGCAGTCCTTGTCATAACCAGCATCTAATTCAGAAAGATCTTCAAATTAATAACATCCTGTGCAGTAAATGCAGTTTTCCGTGTGCATTTTGTCCCAGGCTGGGCAGGTTGGATAGGTCTCGCTCACCGGTGCACCAGCGGCTATGCATACAGGCAGTTTCACGCACCACCAGTTTACTAGTGACAAGGGCTCAAAGGGTTAGGTAGAGCAACAATTTACAGATCTGCCCCCCACCCCAATTGAAGGCCAAATTCAAGTACTAGAAAAGGAACTGTTTCTTTTTTTCTTTTTCTTTGTTAATGATAATGGGGAGCCAAAATCAAGTTTTTGGACAAGTCAGCCTCCCCCCCCCCCCTCCTTTTTCTGAGTAACAAACCCAAAACAACATGAATTATGAAAGCAATCCCTTTTTCTTTTCTGCAAACTAGCCATACTGGGATGGGGTAGTCAAGTTTTGGCCTGAAACGATTTTTTTAACCTTCCACAAGGGCTGGATCCCGCTCGCCAAATCTGAGAGTGGTGACTCGCGATTCAGTCGGCTTCAAAGAATCGCGAGTACGCGAGCGCTCGTGGAACTGTGGCGGAACACTGACTGAAACGGAACAGTGTCATATCAACGGAACAGTGTCATATCAATGCCACTTGGCGAGCGCGAGTCCCACTCTTGTTGTTCCGCCATCCTCTTCTCCCCACACCCTTTGTTGCGCTGCTCTATCAACTGACCTTAATTAGTGACTCCCATCAATTCACCTCCCGCCCCCCATGATTCGCTAAAACAACGGCTTCATAAAATTCCTTCCGTCTATTGGTAGGTCCCCGTTCATTTTCTTTTAATTTTAATAGGGGGGTTGGACTATACCATCTTTTGCAAATAAGGGGAGCCATACTAAGTGTTCCGTTCTGTTCTTGCGCTCGTGACTCGACTTAGCAGCAGGTTAAACAAGCCACAAGGTGGTGACAGCGACAGGGGAGAGAATCAGGAATCGGAAGGCGATACTGTTCCGCGTTCCGCTGAAGTGAATCGTGTTTCACAGGCAAGAGTGGCGATTCAGTTCCGTTCTCGCGACCCAGTCCTAACTTTCACCCCTACCTAACCCATTACTTTACTACCAGATTCTTCTAGTGAAAGTCAGAGATTGTCTGCATATATATTGCTTCACGAGCTAGAGAGTCTTGCCCCCAGGAAATCGCGTGTGGCCGCGTTTTTGGTCGAGTTCCGCAATAAACCCGCAATTTTTCGCAATTTCTTGCAATTTTAGGCAAAAGAGTATATTAACGCTTTAATTTTAACAGAATTTTAAATTCGAAATGGTGCGAGTACAGAGAATGTAGTCTGGTAGGCCTAGCTCTAGTCTACTGGGCGTACTCTAAAAGCTATAACCGGAAATTCAGGCTGGAATACATCATGTACAACACAAACTGAGACATAGAGATCTAATGTGTGTAAGTGTAAGCGTGCGCGTGTGATAAGAAAGTAGGTGTGTCCGTGTGTGTGGCGTGCATGTGTGTGTGCGTGTTAGGTGTACGTGTGTGAGTGTGTGTGTGCGCATGCGCGCGAATATTATTCGTACATGATGCATGTGTCTACATATACACGGTACCGGGCACCTAGTCTCAGTATCTATGTACACGGTAAATGGAATGAAAATAAACCAATATTAATTTGTCTTGTGCTGTCACTTGTAAAAAGTCATACATGTACAAGCGTCTTGTCAGGCTCGCCATCTTGACCGGTCAGCGAATCTGTGCTTTCGCATCACATTGTGAGTACTGTTTGGGGTCACCAAAGTTCATTCAAAGTCTTGCGCTGCGAAGAATAGGGCTCTGGAACGGGGGGATTATTGATTTTTTTAAAAGGTACAGTCGGGAAAGGGCTGGGGTTGAAGGCAACAGCGGATGACAAAAACTGAAAAGTTATTTCGAAAACCGAGGGTTGCGTTATTTTGTGTCACGCCGCATTATATTATATTTTGTCGATAACTTTACTGTTAACGTACTCATTTGTTGTTACTAGTAAATGTTGTTAATAAAATTTGTATGGTGGGTCATGATTTTTTAAAAGGCTGTTCTTCTTTTATGCTACCGGTACTCAAATTGTCATGTTTTTTAACTAAAAATGTTAAGCCCGTATTAATGCGCCTAGGATGAGAAGGTTGCAATTTTTTTGCAATTTTTAGGCAGTTTACCTTGCAATTTGTTGCAATTTTTCTATTTCAAAAATGCAATTTTCCGCGGGGCCAGGAGAGTGCTGTTAAGTACCAATGATTATTGGCGCTTTTTCGGTAGTTCCCACCCCCCAATCATTATACGCCGGTTGTGGAGCCAAGATAGGGGGGTTTCAGAGAGGGGGGATTTTCCCATGATTTGATGTTTTGCAGTTAGGTTTGATGTCTCTCGCTCGCCGTGCATCAAACATATAGTGATATAGATCTATTCTAGATCTAGTTAAATAAGGGGGATGGGAACTACTGAAAAAGTGCCGGATTATTAATGCTAATCTAACCCTATTCCCCCCCCCCCCCCAAAAAAAAAGAAAAAATCCAAACTCAAACCCATGCCAATAAAAAGTTTTAAAGTAAAAAATGTATTGAAAAATGGTAACCAGTCATTTCGTCACACCCCAATTATGTGTGACCAAATGACGTTGCTTATATAGCCTATATATATATATCTCTCCAAAATTATTATGTTAGTACAGTTTTGGAGGATCAGCCTAAAGCTTTTTTTAAAGTTATATAAATTATTAATGCAAATTAAATCTTCGTCTAGCTAGACTGTTCCATAGCTGAACAATAGTTTTTGAAATAAGGCAAAAAACAATGTGTGGCAGAGTTAATAAATAAGGCTTTATTTGAAAGTAAGGGTCTAGCTTTTCACACAATTGCAGTATCGTACATTTCTATTAGCTAAAATATTTTATTTTTAACAAAACAAATATTATGATCTTGCCAATCACAACTGTCATCAAAACTTAAAAACTTTGTTGATCAGACTCAATAGATTTCAATATTTGTCAATAGGCCTAGATCTACATATTAATGAACGGTGTAGCTGATTGGGTAGACACGATGACTCGCACAGCCCCCCCCCCCCCCTTGTCCTTCCACACACACCCCCACCCAATCCTAACCCCCAAATCGTGATTTACGACTGCCATGGTGACAATATGCCTTTGATGTTTGCAAGTATTCTACGAAATGACAGTCTCCATTCAACCTTCTGGATTTGGGGTGTAGAGTGATGAAATGACTGTGACATAGGGCTGGGTCGCGAGCGCGAGAACGGAACTGAATCGTCACTCTTGCCTGCGGAACGCGATTCACGATTCACTTCAGCGGAACGCGGAACAGTATCGCCAAACGATTCCCGATTCACTCCCCTGTCGCTGTCACAATCTTGTGGCTTGTTTAACCAACTGCTGAGTTGAGTCACGAGCGCAAGAACGGAACGGAACACATAGCACAGCTCCCCTTTTTTTTACAAAAGATGGTATAGTCGAACCCACCTATTAAAACGAAATGAACGGGGTCCAACCAATAGGCAAAAGGAATTTTTATGGAGCCGTTGTTTTAGCGAATCATGAGGTTGGGGGGGAATTTATGGGGGTCACTAATTGAGGTCAGTTGATACAGCAGCGCAACAAAGGGTGTGGGAAGGAGAGGATGGCGGAGGATGGCAGAACAACAAGAGTGGGACTCGCACTCGCCAAGTGGCGTTGATATGATACTGTTCCATTTCAGTCAGTGTTGAGCCACAGTTCCACGAGCGCTTGCGTACTCGCGATTCTTTGAAGCCGACTGAATCGCGAATAGCCACTCTCAAATTTGGCGAGCAGGATCCAGCCCTACTGTGACGTCTTGACAGCAC